ACAGCACCAACGACCTTTCCTAATGACAAATGGCTCCGGATGATGGAGGCGTGTGTCTGCAATACCTCAGAACATGTGGGGGTTACAAAGGGGCGCCAAGGCATGCTGACAGTTGTAGTTCCATAAAAGGGACTACTTGTGCAACTAAAAAAACAAACAAGTTCTGCATTTTGTGACAAATAGTTTTCTACTTTTTCATTAGCTAATATAGAATTCCCCCCTTTGTGGCTCAACGTATTGAAGCCAGGCATCTAGCATTTTCGGAAGTAGGTCAGAGATCACACCTTCTATATTTATATTCATATGAGATTACTGTAAAAGTCACAGGTCCCTAGAGACCACCACTCCTCACGCTGCACAGGTTTATAATCATTTGGCCAGTGGGTGGCAGTGTTGTTAGAGGGATGACACTGGTGTGTTGCAGGTAAGAACAATCCTTTCCTTAATATTGATTACTCCGTCCCTCAGCCCAATGAATCTTCCATACTTCACCATTAGTTGTCACCTGATGTACACGGGTATTTTCTTCACTTTTCATCTTTTTAAAATCTTGGTGACTGAGCGCAGGACTTGTAAAAGTTTTCATAGATTTTCTAGAAATGCCAGATGGGCTCCTTGGACTGCACTCCCCATCTGTCAGTATTATGTGTTGGAATCTGTCTCTCATTCTTCCTTTCCATCTTACCCCTCTCCACCTCTCTTTCTGCCTCTCTTCCTTTCCATCTTACCCCTCTCCACCTCTCTTCTTTCCATCTTACCCTCTCTCCACCTCTCTTCCTTTCCATCTTACCCCTCTCCACCTCTCTTTCTGCCTCTTCCTTTCCATCTTACCCCTCTCCACCTCTCTTCCTTTCCATCTTACCCCTCTCCACCTCTCTTTCTTCCTTTCCATGTTTTTGTTTTCCAAGTTCCCCTCTTCTGCCTGTCTCTTCCTTTCCTAACTCTTCTGTCCCCTCTCCATTCTCTTTATGTCTTTCCTTCTCAATCTCTTTCTCCCTACCTCTCTCTTACTTCTTTCTCTCACTTTCCCTCTTTATTCTGCCTCTTCCTTTTTCTTACCCCTCTCCCCACCTCTCTTTCTCTCTCTTTTCCTTTCCATCTTACCCCTCTCCACCTCTCTTCCTCCCTCCTTTCCTTCTTCCCCTCTCCATCCTCTCTCTTCTTCTCTCTCTTCCTTTCCTCTTCCCTCTCTATCCTCCTCTCTTCTCTCTCTATCCTTTTTCTTCCCTATCTCCACCTCTCCCTCTTTCCTCCATCTTCACCCCTCTCCACCTCTCTTCCTTTCCATCTCTACCCCTCTCCACTTCTCTCTCTCTACCCTCCTCTCTTCATGTTTTCCCTTTTCTTTCCCTCTCTTCTCCTTTCTTCTCTCTTCCTACTCTTTCTTCATCTCTCTCCCTCTTCTTCATCTCTCTCTCCCTCTTTTCTTCATCTTCTCTCTCTTCTGTCTTTCTCTCTCTTCATTTCCCTCTTTATTCCTGCCCCCTCTCTTCATTTACTTGTCTCCTCTCTTCATCTCTCTTCCTCTCTCTTTTTCTCTTCTTCACGCCTCTGTCCCTCCTCTCTTCTCTCTCTCTGTCCTCCCTCTTTTCTTCCTCTCTATCCTCCCTTTCCTCATCCCTCTGTCCTCCTCTCTTCATCTCTCTCTGTCCCCTCTCTTCATCTTCTGTCCTCTCTCTCTCTTCTCTCTCTCTTCATCTCTCTGTCCTCCACTCTCTTCATCTCTCTCATCCTCCTCTCTCATCTCTCTGTCCTCCTCTCCTTCATCTCTCTGTCCTCCCTCTCCTCATCTCTCTGTCTCTCCCTCTCTTCATCTCTCTGTCCTCCCTCTCTTCATCTCTCTCTGTCATCCCTCTCTCTCATCTCTCTGTCCCCCCTCTCTCTCATCTCTCTGTCCTCCCTCTCTTCTCATCTCTCTGTCCTCCCTCTCTTCATCTCTCTCCTCCCTCTCTTCATCTCTCTGTCCTCCCTCTCTTCATCTCTCTGTCCTCCCTTTCTTCTCTCTCTCTCTGTCCTCCCTCTCTTCATCTCTCTGTCCTCCCTCTCCTCATCTCTCTGTCCTCCCTCTCTCTCTCTTCTCTGTCTCTCCTCTCATCATCTCTCTCCTCCCTCTCTTCATCTCTCTGTCCCCCCTCTCTTCATCTCTCTGTCCTCCCTCTCTTCATCTCTCTGTCCTCCCTCTCTTCATCTCTCTGTCCTCCCTCTTCATCTCTCTGTCCCCCCTCTCCTCATCTCTCTGTCCTCCCTCTCCTCATCTCTCTGTCCTCCCTCTCCTCATCTCTCTGTCCTCCCTCTCTTCATCTCTCTTCTCCCTCTCCTCATCTCTCTGTCCCTCTTCTCTTTTTCTCTGTCTCTTCTTTTCCCCTTCTTCTCTTATTTTCTCTCGCTCTCTTTCTTTCTCTTGTCATATCACTCTCTCGTTTCCTTCATCCCCAATCTGTATCTCTTGTACTCTCTCTCTTCCTGTCTCCATCTCTCTCTTTCTCTCCCCTCTTCTCTGTCTCTGTTGCTCTCTCCCACTCTTCTCCTCTCTTCATCTTTCTCTCTACCCTCCTCTCTTCATCTCTTTTGCGCTCTCTCTCTTCTTCTCTTTTCATTTCTCTCTCTCCACTCCTCTATTCATATCTCTCTCTACTCCTCTCTTCATTTTACCTCTCTCTTTCCATACACACATACACCCTGTTGGTGTCTTGTAACTGGTCTCTATGGAAATGGTGGTATATTCACCTTGGTCTCGTCTTGGAGGGAGGATGTAAAGCGTATAGCCCGTCTTCTCAGAGACATGGGTGTCAGCACCTCTATAACAGATTTAGTTTTGTCAGGCTGACGTCCACACATGTCATAAATCATATAATAATCACAGTAGGGATGGGTTGGGAAGACCTACATCTGTGTACATTACACACAGCTAAATGCTATATTTACACATGTAATGTGAGCGGGGTGACGTCTGACACAGGCCTCTTAAATATAACCTTTCACATCCAGGAAAACCCATACCAGAGAAGGGGGGGGGGGGAGAAGCAGAGGACCAGCCAATCTAAAACAAAACATTTGACATCATGTAAAGGAGTTGGCAAAAAAAAAACAGGTAACACCGATGAAATCTGACATTTCAGTTTGGATATTTTACAAATAGCTCGGGGGGGGGGGGGGGGGGGGGGTTCTGAACATTTCCTTCAGGCTGAGCAGGATTGCACTGAAACATAAGGCATACATAGGATTCGAAGAGAAATTGGCTCCATCAGGAAAATTACTAAGTATTTGATAGGAAATTTTCCTGTCAGTCTCCATGGCAGCATGGGTACCTGAACGTATGCTTTTACAGAGTCCATCCGAAGAGGAAAATTACGAAGTGAAGCTAAAGAAGAATTCCAGGATAGGCAAAAAAAAATCATCTGTTAGTACACCTCACTACACAAAACACTAAACAGTTAATAAAATGTTGAAAATTCTTACAATTTAGGAGAAAAGTCTAATAAAAGTTTCATGACCTCATCTCCTGGAATTCATAAGATAACAGCATCTGCTCTGCCAAGGAGGAGGAGTAACAGCCGGATTACATCATATCCTCTCCTCTCTCGCTGCAGTAAAAGGAAACTACAGTTTCCATCAACCACAGGGAATGGTAGTGAATGTGGGCCGGTACAATAGGCCAGTACATGCTGAATGTGTCTGCCCACCACTGCAAATGGGGCTGAATGACATCACTACTTCCTTGAGAAAGAACTACGAGAGGGATGTGCCAAGACCAGTGGCTGGGGGAATAGGAGGCAGAGCAGCCACTGGTCTCACAAATAGGAAACCACTGGGAATTAAGGCCTCATATACGCAAGACGTTTAAAAAATGCCCCTCCTCTTGACAGCAGCGTTGTTGGCAGGAAAAACACCTGACGCTTGTAAAACTGTCCAAGGCTTTTACAAGTGTTTAGGAGCGTTTGCAGGCATCAAGCGCTTGGGCGTTAATTCATTTCATTGACCAGAATAATAATTTATTCGGCCCATTGAAATTAATTATGCTCAAGGCCTAAACGCGCCTATCATTAACAAGCATTTAGGCACATTCAGACGTGTACATGCGTCAAGCATTTTTCTGCCAAAATGCTGCTGCTCCTGGACGCACTGGCCCTGGGTTTTTTTTTTCTGCTAGCAAACGCTTCTGCCACTAAAAGCTTCCAAAAGTCTATGTGTGCACGGACACATAGGATAGCATGGAGGGGTGTTTGGAAGCAGTTAAAAAAATGCCTGACTAAAAGCGTCTGTCAACTGATCGCAGCGGAAGTTGGAGCAGGTACCTGTCAAAATATGGTACAGCTGCATCCCCCCTTACGCTACCCAAAGGTGCCAATCTTTAACGGAGAGCGGGGGATGAGGCCTTAAAGCTGAATTTTCCCTTTTCGGTGGAGCTTCCTTTTAAGTTAACAATTTTGTTGTGTTGCATTCATTAAATTTGGATGATTCAGTTCTCTGTTCTCTCCTCCCAAACCCAGACACGTCCATCTGATTGCCAGACAGGGAAGCGTGATTGGTCACTCCAGAGAACATGTCTCCCCTGCTCTAGAGTACAGTGGCAGCGTGCTTTACACCACGGCATCCGACGCTTTGCATTGCACTTGGTGATGGAAGGTTGGGATGCAGCTGGCCGGCCATGGAAACCCATTCCATGAAGCTCTCTACGCACTGTTGTTGGGCTCATCTGAAGGCCACACCAAGTTTGGAGGTCTTTAGCTATTGACTCTGTAGACAGTTGGCGACTTCTGCGCACTGTGCGCTTCAGCATGCGCTGACCCCGCCCTGTCATGTGACGTGGCCTACCACTTGGTGGCTGAGTGGCTGTTGTTCCCAGTTGCTTCCACTTTGTTATAATCCCACTAACAGTTGAGCGTGGAATATTTAGTAGCCAGGAAATGTCACGGATGGACTTATTGCCCAGGTGGCCACCTATCATGGGACCACGCTGAGCTCATGAGAGCGACCCATTCTTTCACCCAATGTTTGTAGAAGCAGTCTGCATGCCTAGGGGCTTGATTGTATACACCTGTGTCCCTAGAGGGGGGATTGGAACACCTGAATCACCTGATTGGGAGGGGATTGGAATCACATGATATGGAGGGGATTGGAACACCTGAATCACATGATATGGAGGGGATTGGAACACCTGAATCACATGATTGGAGGGGATTGGAACACCTGAATCACATGATTGGGAGGGATTGGAACACCTGAATCACATGATATGGAGGGGATTGGAACACCCTCTGAATCACATGATTGGGAGGGATTGGAACACCTGAATCACATGATATGGAGGGGATTGGAACGCCTGAATCACATGATATGGAGGGGATTGGAACACCTGAATTACATGATTGGGAGGGGATTGGAACACCTGAATCACATGATATGGAGGGGATTGAAACACCTGAATCACATGATTGGGAGGGCAGGCCCAATACTTTTGGCAATCTAGTGTGTATGTGTCTGTATATATATATATATTATATATATCTCCATGGACAGGAATCTCCTATCATTCAGATTGTGGTGTTACAGTGATATGAAAAGAGAAGTATGGCCAATGCTTTTTAAGGAAAAGTCCTGGGAGTGGATGGGGAATGTTTGCCGTTGAGGTTCTGCAGGAGATCATCCTGGCCCCAGGCAGTGGATGGGGTGTGTGTTTCAGAACTAGACCTCTGTGGGTTCAGTAGAGCGTGAATAGCCCCGCATAAGTCTGGTGTTGTTCTCGAAGCTGAACTGGCAGTAGGCCCACACAGGGAAAGTCACTGCACATTCCTAATGGTTCCTTCTGTAAAGTAGAACTGCAGGCAAAACTTATTTTTTCATTTTGGATGGAGTAAGGAAGGGTTAGAACCCCTTTCGGATTTTTTTTTTTCACCATCTGTGTCCCATTGTGGAAATTTCCCTTCACGTCCTATAGCCAACCAGGAAGTGAGAGGAAATCCTTGAAAACTGAGGGAATTCCTTTGGGTCCCCCAAGTCACCAGAACTAGTGTCTTCATTGGAAGATTTCCTCTCTATTACTTTTCTGGGGAAAACCCAGAATTTAGGATTTTCTTTTACATTCACTTTCAGTGATAATGGTAAACAGGACAAATAGAGAGGGGAATCTCCCTAACTGGGGCACAGACGGCTATAAAAACTGACAGGCATTCTAATCTATCCTCTCCACTCTATTGAATAATACAAATAAAAAGTTTTGCCTTTAGTTATACTTTAACCCTTTTTACTGGCTGGTGTGTTCAGGAAGGCCATGATCTGGTATTGAACACTCACCATAGAGACACCCACCAAACACCTGATATCTGCTCTGGTTGGGGTGATCCTTTAAGGGCACATTTACACACATCAAAGTGCCCACAGCTTCAACATTCACTTTTTTGATGCTTCGATTATGTTTTTTTTAAGATTTAATGAAGCTTATGTGTTGATTTTCGATTTGTTTTTAAGGGTCTCTTTAGAACCCCAAACTCAGTAGTACCCCTACTCAACAGATCCCCAGTTTAATAGTACCCCTGTTCAGCAGATCCCCAGTTTAATAGTACCCCTGTTCAGCAGATCCCCAGTTTATTACCCCTGTTCAGCAGATCCCTTTAATAGTACCCCTGTTCAGCAGATCCCCAGTTTAATAGTACCCCTGTTCAGCAGATCCCCAGTTTAATAGTACCCTGTTCAGCAGATCCCCAGCTAGTACCCCTGTTAAGCAGATCCCCAGCTTATTAGTACCTCGTTCAGCAGTTCGCTCAGTAGTACCCCCTCTGCTGATCTCTGGTTCGCTGATCCCCTCTCTTTCTGGTCCCCACTCACCTTACACTATATTGCTGCCATGCTGTGCACCATGAGTGACATCTGCTAGTTTCCCCTGCTCTGGTCCCTCAGCTCTGCTGATCCTCGTTCACCTGCTCTGGTCCCTCAGCTCTGCTGATCCTCATTCCCCTGCTCTGGTCCCCCAGCTCTGCTGATCCTCTGGTTCGCTGATCCTCCTCTCTCTCTGGTCCCCACTCACCTTACACTATATTGCTGCCATGCTGTGCACCATGAGTGACATCTGCTAGTTTCCCCTGCTCTGGTCCCTCAGCTCTGCTGATCCTCGTTCACCTGCTCTGGTCCCTCAGCTCTGCTGATCCTCATTCCCCTGCTCTGGTCCCCCAGCTCTGCTGATCCTCTGGTTCGCTGATCCTCCTCTCTCTCTGGTCCCCACTCACCTTACACTATATTGCTGCCATGCTGTGCACCACGAGTGACATCTGCTAGTTTCCCCTGCTCTGGTCCCTCATCTCTGCTGATCCTCGTTCACCTGCTCTGGTCCCTCATCTCTGCTGATCCTCGTTCACCTGCTCTGGTCCCTCATCTCTGCTGATCCTCGTTCACCTGCTCTGGTCCCTCAGCTCTGCTGATCCTCGTTCACCTGCTCTGGTCCCTCAGCACTGCTGATCCTCGTTCACCTGCTCTGGTCCCCGTTCACCTTCCACTATTCTGTTCGCATGTTGCACACCATGTGAGCTAGTTGCTCCGCTCACATTCCTGCTGCTCCACGCTGCACTCCAGATGTGACGTCTGCACCAGACACTCCCAGAATATAGACACATGAACCAGAAGTGACTGCTGATGACGTATTTCTGGTTCTCTTGTTGTTTTCCCAGTGCATCCTGGGATATCTCATACCTGAAATACCTCCAAAACAAAGCAAAGCTGAATAAAACCCCTCAAAAGCTTCAGGTGCTGTTGGCGAACATTGTCATAGACTTCCATGAAGGCTTCAGAGATGCTTTGAGGCACCAAAAAAGCGACATGGGGGATAATTTTTGAAGCAGACAAACACAAAGTGTGAACAAGGCTGTAAGGTGACCATGTTATTTAGTGACGGGGCTTTGATTGGCATTCAGAGCTCTTTGACAAAGTGTGACCAATGTAGCATTTTGAAGCAAGTGTAAAGGAGCCGTAACAGTTTGTGGTGGTTGTCATGTGACAATCGTAGTGTCATACTATCCCCTGACCTCATTCCTTACCTCCTGCAGGTTTGGTGGAGAAGATTCGGTTACATTGTATGGAGGAATGAGATATTTGTGACATGCTGAAGACACTTAGACAGAATTGTAAAGGCAAAAATAATAACAATTACAATAATAACAGTATTGATTGGTATTGATCGTGTTCTCCGTTCCTCAGTCCTGAGGTAGCAAGATAAAGGAAACAACTTTTTTTTTTTTTTTTTTTGCCGTTAATAATTTTGTTTATTATGTTGGTGATTAGTTTTTTATGCGCTACGTCTGTGTAATCTTAACCTGCCAGGAGACAAAAGCTGAGCCGTATCTACAAAAGACACATTGAAGCTGCAATAATGACATGTACTTTAATTGCACCCAGTGTATCTGAGTTTGTCCTGTAATGTACAGCAACAGGGAGAGAGCGGGAATTTGGGGAGGGAGAGGATTTGTGCTGGGAGGAGGAATTGGGGGAGGGAGGGGGAATTTGGGGAGGGAGAGGATTTGTGCTGGGAGGAGGAATTGGGGGAGGGAGAGGATTTGAGCTTGGGGGAGGGGGAATTTGGGGAGGGAGAGGATTTGCGCTGGGGGGAGGAGGAATTTGGGGAGGGGGAGGATTTGAGCTGGGGGGGGGGGGAATTTGGGGGGGAGAGGATTTGAGCTGAGAGGGGGAATTTGGGGAGGGGAGAGGATTTGAGCTGAGAGGAGGGGGAATTTGGGGAGGGAGAGGATTTGAGCTGAGAGGGGGAATTTGGGGAGGGAGAGGATTTGAGGGGAGGAGGAATTTGGGGAGGGGGAAAGGATTTGAGCTGGAGGGGGGAATTTAGGGAGGGGAGAGGATTTGTGCTGGGAGGAGGAATTTGGGGAGGGAGAGGATTTGTGCTGGGAGGAGGAATTTGGGGAGGGAGGGGGATTTGAGGAGGGGGAATTTGGGGAGGGAGAGGATTTGTGCTGGGAGGAGGAATTTGGGGAGGGAGAGGATTTGAGCTGGGGGAGGGGGAATTTTGGGGAGAGGAGGGAGGGGAGGATTTGAGCTGGGGGGAGGGGAGGAATTTGAGCTGGGGGGAGGGGGGGAATTTGGGGAGGGAGAGGATTTGAGCTGGGGGGAGGGGGAATTTGGGGAGGGAGAGAATTTGAGCTGGGGGGAGGGGGAATTTGGGGAGGGAGAGATTTGAGCTGAGAGGGGGAATTTGGGGAGGGAGAAGATTTGTGCTGGGAGGAGGAATTTGGGGAGGGAGAGGATTTGAGCTGGGAGGAGGAATTTGGGGAGGGAGAGGATTTGAGCTGAGAGGGGGGGAATTTAGGGAGGGAGAGGATTTGTGCTGGGAGGAGGAATTTGGGGAGGGAGAGGATTTGTGCTGGGAGGAGGAATTTGGGGAGGGAGAGGATTTGAGCTGAGAGGGGGAATTTGGGGAGGGAGAGGATTTGTGCTGGGGGGAGGGGGAATTTGGGGAGGGAGAGGATTTGAGCTGAGAGGGGGAATTTGGGGAGCGAGAGGATTTGTGCTGGGAGGAGGAATTTGGGGAGGGAGAAGATTTGAGCTGAGGGGAGGGGGAATTTGGGGAGGGAGAGGATTTGAGCTGGGGGGAGGGGGAATTTGGGGAGGGAGAGGATTTGAGCTGGGGGGAGGGGGAATTTGGGGAGGGAGAGAATTTGAGCTGGGGGGAGGGGGAATTTGGGGAGGGAGAAGATTTGAGCTGAGAGGGGGAATTTGGGGAAGGAGAGGATTAGAGCTGAGAGGGGGAATTTGGGGAGGGAGAGGATTTGAGCTGAGAGGGGGAATTTGGGGAGGGAGAGGATTTGAGCTGAGAGAGGGATTTGGGGAGGGAGAGGATTTGAGCTGAGAGGGGGAATTTGGGGAGGGAGAGGGAGAGGGTTTGAGCTGAGAGGGGGAATTTGGGGGGGAGAGGGTTTGAGCTGAGAGGGGGAATTTGGGGAGGGAGAGGATTTGAGCTGAGAGGGGGAATTTGGGGAGGGAGAGAGGTTTGAGCTGAGAGGGGGAATTTGGGGAGGGAGAGGGTTTGAGCTGAGAGAGGGAATTTGGGGAGGGAGAGGATTTGCGCTGAGAGGGGGAATTTGGGGAGGGAGAGGATTTGCGCTGGGATGGGGAATGTAGGGAGGGAGAGGATTTGATCCTGGGAGGGGGAATTTTGTACTGGAAGAGGAGGAGTTTTTGTTTGTGGAAAATGTTGGCTTACAAATATATGCTTCTGGGGTAAGATTGGTGCCCTCATTTTTTTTTTCTTGGGGGGGCTTTTTTTTATAAGATTGGTGCCCTAATTTTTTGGGGGGAGGGGGCTTTTGGGGTAAGATTGGTGCCCTCATTTAATTTTTTTTTTTTTGGGGGGGTGGGGTTTGCTAACCCACAATGCTCATACATTCGGGGGGGGTGCATTTGACATCTT